CATGAGCCGGGGATTTAGCTCAGTGGCACCATGCCTGCCCCGCAAGCACAAGGTCCTGAGTTCAATCCCTGGTACAAGAAAAAAAAAAAGTGGCAATCATTGTGACTTCTTAGAACATAGGGAAATGAAATAGTAGAACTCTGAGAACTGTGAGCTGAAACCAGGGCTGATGCCCAGCTACTCAGTTGTGACACAAATGAGTCCCTATGGTGCTACCAAGTATCACTGTCAAGACTGCAAGGAACTCGGCCTTACAGCCACCATAAAAAGAAGATGAAATACAAAACTTGAAGAAAAGATAAATTTTTTGGTTTTTGGTTGAGTGGAAATTACTCCTTTCTAGAAAATGACTTTTGGGGGAGAGGTGAGTGCTGGGAACTGAACTCAGGGCCTTGCACATACTAGGTAAATACTGTACCACTGAGCTATACCTCAGCCCCCAAAATCACTTTTTAAGTAAAGGAACAACCTTTGATGCCTTTATGTCACCCACAGGCCCATATGAAAAGATGCTGCATTGGTCACACTATCCATCCAGAGACCAGACTGGCTAGTATGCACAGTAGGTATACTCACACAGCAGTGGTTCAGATGAGCAACACAAGCTCTCTAATCTGGATACTTCCTGAGTGACTATGTCATTTCATTTGCTACTCTCAGCTACTTTTTTGGAAATTCTACAACTTAGATCATTAAGTTAAATTGCAAAGTTTCCCATATCATTTCTATCCCACTTAAATCAATAAATATAAACCTTAAATGCTGCCCCTTCTACTCCCAGTACACACATACACATATAACACAATTTCAGGGGGATGAAGGGAATTAGGAAGGAGAAACTGAGTTCAATCACACTATCATCCTAGATAATTTTCCCTTCCAACACCATGAGATTTTTTTTTTTTTTGTACTGGGGATAGAACTTGAGACCCTGCAGTTGCGAGGAAGGTGTCAGAACCACGGAGCTAAATCCCCAGCCCACACCATGAAATTTTGATCCAATCACTCCTTGGCCTTTTGGCTAAGATCAAGTGGAGATTTTGATCCCTCTGGTTATTACCTCACCATGCAAAAGTCCATCCAGACTTGCAGGTCCAGAATTAGGTCGTAAATTCTGTTCACATACTAAAACTAATCCTAAGTACAAATAACACTTATTAGATGCCCACTACCTGGTGAAAGGTATTACACTCAACCTTTTAACCTTACTATATGCTTGAGCTAAGGGATTATCCATACAGACTCTGCCAAAAAATGTATGCACACTTCAGGAAAAAAAAAAAAGTATGGGTTTTTTTTGGGGGGTGGGTACTGGGGATGGAACTTGGGACCTTGTGCTTGTAAGGCAGACAGTGGAACCACTGAGCTAAATCCCTGGTCCAAAAAATTATGTTTTTTCAATAAATGGCATTACCCACCCTCATGTGGGGAACCCTAGAGGATGCCATATATCACGGAAAACCCACTACACTGCCGGCTCTTAGAGATGAAATTGAAAATGCATGTGCAGCAATCTCAATGACCAAGGTTACCCAAGCAGCACCTCTTGTAACTGTCGATGCCAAAGATAACTTGTATTAATCTCATGATGTCTCAATAAATTTTTTTTTGGGGGGGGTTTTTTGAGACAGGGTCTCACTATGTAGTTGAGACTGACCTAGAACTCACTATAGCCCAGGCTGTAAAACCCACTACACTGCCGGCTCTTAGAGATGAAATTGAAAATGCATGTGCAGCAATCTCAATGACCAAGGTTACCCAAGCAGCACCTCTTGTAACTGTCGATGCCAAAGATAACTTGTATTAATCTCATGATGTCTCAATAAATTTTTTTTGGGGGGGGGTTTTTTGAGACAGGGTCTCACTATGTAGTTGAGACTGACCTAGAACTCACTATATAGCCCAGGCTGGTCTCAAACTCACAGCGATCCTCCTGCCTCAGCCTCCCAAGTGCTGGGATTACAGGCGTGCGCCACTACGCCTGGCTCAATAAATTTAATATTAAAATATTTATACAAGTTTCTCTTTTCCTGAAATATGTATACCTCTTTTAAAAAATGCACACACTGCATGATTCCAAAGCAGATTTTTTTGGTGTATATCCTCCACAGGGCCTAGAGGAATGCCTTTGTATCCTTGATAAAAAGGCATTTAAGTTTTGAGCCAGGTATTTAGCTCAGTGGTGCTGCAGCCTGCCTCACAAGAACAAGGTTCTGAGTTCGATCCCTGGTACAAAATAAATAAATAAATAAATAATAAATAATAAAGGCATATAAGTTTCTATGTTGTGCATTTAAAAATACTATCTAACCCCTCCTCTCAAAAAGTATCTTTACCTTCGGCAGACTCTTATGGCTTTACAACACAGGAGTTTATCAAAGGTCACCACTCTGTAAACTACTCTGGGATTATGCTCCATCATTCATTCTTCCTCCCTAATTCTACTACAATTAGCCAATCATCTCTCACAACTCTTTCACCTCAATAAAAATAATAGGCCAAAAGCAACAAACTTTGTCAGTATTCAAATCCCTCTTTCATCTCAGTCAAATGTGTCAGTGACTTTCTTGTGATTAAGCTCACTTTATTAGGCCATGTGAAAAGAAGGCCTAGGGGAAAATGCCAACCTAAAACATATACCAAAAGAGAATGCCTGTAAACAATTGTGCAAAAACAGAAATACGCCCAGAACATAAGTTCAGTGTTTACATGCAGCCCCAACGTTGCAGTTTTTGAGAAAATTTTTCTTATACCCCACTTCCCCAGGCTGCTGCCCCAAGCTCCTCCAGGTCTTCTTACCGACCACCTAGGTCTAGGCTACTCTGGCTCACAATTAGAGGCAAATGAACCAACTCAGCTAACCTGAGGGAGTCACACGGGAGCTCTACAGAATCTGGAGACTAGGCCTGGAAACCAACCTTAGAAGCTTTCAGCTGGAGCACTGGGCTCCTTAGAAGGTAGAAAGCTTTGGGTGAGAGGAGCTGAAGCTTACACTAAGAAGGGCCGAGGCACCAATCTGCAAGGCATCAACAAGTCACAGCTGTGATTGGCCCCTCCCCCGCAGGAGACTGACCTTTGCCCCTTGCACGCCTCCCAGGCCCCTCCTACAACAATACTCCCCTGGTCTTACTACAGCGCCCGGAGTCCTGGACCCACCCCGGGGCGTCCCCCTCCTGGTCCCCCATTCCCTGCTTTGACGTCAGGGTGGTCTCCGCGGCGCTACAACTCCCGGAGGGGTCTGGCGGACCTGTCAGCGGATCCAAGATGGCGGGGCCTAGTCCCAGGACCCGCGGCCGCGGCTCATGTCAGCTGCGCCCCAGAGGCGGCTCCCGGCGGCTCCCCCGGCTCGGATGGCAAATGGAGGAGGAAAGGAGCCTGTTTTCAGGAAGCGAAGGCTGAAGTCCGGGTGGACCCGCACAGCTGGTCAGAATGGGTCGGCCGGGCCGGATAGTGGAGCCGGCTACCCTCCCTGTCAGCTCACTGACGTGGTAACTAGCCTCAGTCTAACCCGCTGCCTGGTAACAGCGCGAGCCCTTCCTCTCATAACCAATCACAGCTTGGGGCCCTGAAAAGTGGCACCCCAGTTACCCAATTGAAGAAATATATTGGTTCAGAAGGCGGGAGGGCCTGAAGAAGCGAGATTACCGGGGGGTGGGAATAGGTAGGTCACATCCAACGAATAAGAGAATTCTCTGAGTGACAGTTATTAAAACCAATGAAAATAAGGAATTGTTCTGGGCAGTTGGAGAGGTGGAGTTAGAGTTTGGTTGCAGCGCTCTTTTGGTGGAGGCCGCGGGCCTTTAGCCTAGGAAAGCTGTGATTTGCGGGCAGGGAGGCGGGTCATATTTTGAGAGATAGAGCGGGCGTCCCCGGCCGCACTCAATACTCTGCTCCTTGAGCAATTACTCCCTTTTGAGACAGCTTTGGAACGCCTTGATCCTAAATTCAGTCCGGTGAACTATTTCACCCGCGCCCCTCCTCATCCTGTTGTCTGCCCGTCCCGTTTTGACTTCTCATAAATGTGACTGTCGCATCCCAACTCAGTTTCGATGTCTTCTGCCCCGTTCCTCCAGAACAACTGAAAATGGAAAATAGTAGAAATCTTTATATCTAATTTAAGTCTCCTTGTGTTATAGAACAGGAAACTGAGTCCCGGAGTGGAAAGCTGGCCCCAGCTAGTCGGTGGCAGAGTAGAGAGACAAACTCAGGTGTCCTCATCCTCAGTTCACCTCTTTCCCACTTATTGGTGCTACCTCGTATGCCTTAGTCTATCAAGTTCTAACCTCCAACTCTGACCTTCATTTCAAGGCTTGGACATGCCTTACCAACCAGGACAAACCTAATCACACAGGTTAGTTTACATCGCCATTGACGCTAACACCAAGAGGCTGAGGGCTAGATACCTATCCATTTTTTTTCCGCTGCCCCCATATAGTTGGCTCCTGCCCTTACAAGAGATGACAGAGGTTACCAGACTATTTTAAATGATGTAGAAGCGACAATGCAAGGGAAGACTACAGGAGGATGGGTCTACTGCTTGCAAACTGAATCGTGGAATTCCCAGTCTGTTGGCTGAGTAGAACCCAGGTGTCGCTGCAGACCCAGGGAGGCTGCTGGGAGGCGGGGAAAAAAGACACCAACTCTCGCTGGACTAAGGGTGCACATCTGTAATCCCAACATTTGGGAGGCAGAGGCAGAAGAATGGCTGAGAATTTGAAGCCAGTCTGGGCTACATAGTGAGTTTGAGGGTAGTCTGAACTACATAGCAAGACCCTGTCTCAAAACAACAATCACCAAAAAATAATTTAAAAACAATAAAGATACCAATTCTTTCCACATTCCTCCTACTTATGGATAACTCAAGTCCAGGGAAGCCCCAAACCTAACCCCATAGGAACGTGTCCCAAAACCAGGTATCCCAAATCAGCCATGTATTAAGATACTCTAATTTGAAGAATCATTCAGAGCTGACATAAGACCTGAAGAGCCCCTCAACACCTCCCTACATCTGTTCACTAGGGTCCTGATCTCTGAGTCCAGCTAAGGAACTTGCTTCTTTTACACAAAGGAAGTCAGGAGAATAAGATACACCATCATGCCACTACACTTCATACTATCTCTGAGTTACTGTCTTATTCATTTGAAAAAGGTTACTGGCTTCCTGGGCCTGTCTCAGATTGAGAAGTCTTGGAGAGCTATTGGAAAAATCTAAGTGTGCCAAAACACCCTACTTCTCCACCCATCTTTCCACATGCCTCCAGAAATCGTCATTTTAAAAGCATGCAGTTGTACATTAAAGATGGACAGGAGAGCTGGGCGTGGTGGCACGTGCCTGTAATCCCAGTACTTGGGAGGCTGAGGCAGGAGGATTGCTATGAATTCGAGACCAGTCTGGGCTAAATAGTGAGTTTCAGGTCAGTCTCAACTACATAGTGAGATCCTGTCTCAAAAAAACAAAAACAAACAAAAGATGGACAGGAGAGCTGGGCGTGGTGGCACGTGCCTGTAATCCCAGTACTTGGGAGGCTGAGGCAGGAGGATTGCTATGAATTCGAGACCAGTCTGGGCTAAATAGTGAGTTTCAGGTCAGTCTCAACTACATAGTGAGATCCTGTCTCAAAAAAACAAAAACAAACAAAAGATGGACAGGAGAGAGATGACAATTCCCTAGCCTCTACTATTTATTAACCATCATCCTACCAGGTAAAACACCTTCCTCTTAGATCACAGTATGATTTTTTAAATTAAAAAATGATTTCATTGGGCCGGGGATTTAGCTCAGTGGTACCATTGCCTGCCTCAAGCTCAAGGTCCCGAGTTTGGTACCCAGTATATTGAAAAGAAAAGATTTCATTGCTTCAGTACATGGACAAATTTATGCCAGCAGGCAGAGGCTATTGATGACCCATATTTTCAATGGGTATTGGGGGAAGGACTCACTTAGTTTTACACTACTGAGCCAATCAGTGAATTTGGCTCTGTTAAAATCAGAAGGAATTTAGCATCCTTATTGTCTCTGTTCTTCTCAATATGCTTTTGAACAGTAACCACTTTCATAATTAAATGGTAGAGATCCTCAGGAAGATCAGGAGCAAGACCTTTGGACTTAAAGGATTCTCAAGATTATATTGCCCATCACAAAATATACTTTCATAACCTTGCATGAGTCTCTCACCAGTTTGTGATAGAGCCAGGCTCTTCTTGGCCACTTTGTAAATCTGCTCCTTCCTCTTATCAGACATCAACTTCAGGCAAGTGGGGATGCTGCAGAGCAGACTGTGACAGGTCCTTCCCCAGAGATGCATGTGACACAAGCTGGGGGCAATCCAGTAGCAAGAACAAAAAACCACCACCAACAACAAGGACCTCAGGGTGTGACATATTTATTGAGTTTCTACATTACACCTGAAAAGAAGGAAGAAGGAGCCATGGTTCCTGCACTCCTACATCTTAGTCACATAACGGACAGCTCATAAGCTGGTCTCTTTCATGTGGTAGATGAGACAGTGAAAAAAGGCAAAGGTTTATACAATATGAAGAGAAACAGAGTATTACGTGCGAGCAGAGAGTATGCACAACAGGGTCATGACAGCATGATGCTAGACTCTGGCAAACCTGGGAGTTTGGAAGGCCTTCCCAGAGAGAATGAGGCCTGAGTGGAACTTAGGAGGACAGGCAGGGATTAGGAAAATAGAGGTGGAAAGATCCATTACTGTCAGGAGAGGACAAAGATGGAACTGAAGATGAGGTAGGCTCCTGAAGGCCCAGTATGCCCAACTAGAGGCCTGACGTTTCTCCTGAGGGTAATTAGGAACCATTAAAGGGTTTTAAGTAGAGATGTGAGGGGTCAGATTCCCTTTAAGAGCATATTTTGTGACTTAGGGCTTTCAAGAGCACCCAAGTAACATAATCCAGTGCAACACGTTCCTTAGACTTCTATCTTGCCCCTTGCAAGTTTCTCATCACCAAACACCAAGGCCACACTCTGCCCACGAGACTGATCTGTTCCCCATCCTCTCGAAGCTGAGAGGGCACAGACCAGGCAAATCGAAGGGATGGACAGAGGGGCAAAGGCCTGTGCCTTCAGAGGGCCCCAGGCCCAACCTAGGGGAATCCGTGAGGCCCTGTTGATTTGGGGTGGCAGTGAATTAAGTTAATTGTCCAAGGGAACAGTAGTGGTGGGGTTGGAATATCGCTTTAGTTTGACTCATTTCAAAGCCTGCTTTTCTCACGAAGCCATCTTCCATGGGGAAGAGGGTGGCAGGCGTACCCAGCTTGAGAAGAAGGGTAGATGACAGAAAGGGGGCACAGAGAAAGAGAAACTGGTTTCTCAAAGTGGCAGAGGCAGGAGGAGAGGGGCAAAAACCAGGAGCAAGGCGGCGGAGACGAAGAGAAAAGAAAGGCGAGACGTGGGAAAACTGGAACGGAGACAAAAGGGCGGAGAGACGGACAGCGACAAGTGGAGAAAATCGGCGAAACTTGAGCGGTAGACCAGCCTGAGCGCTGAGAGCCGGCGGCCTGGAGCGCATTCCCACCTGGCATCCAGCAGCCCTCTCCCCCTTCACCGCCCCGCTTGGATCCCGGGAGCTGCCGGGACCACTTCGCCGCCGACTGGTCCTCTCCTGCTCCGCCGGCCACGCCACTCCGCCGCTCA